TGGGGGGAGGGAGATAGCTTACTAATACATGTTTGTTGTTAAGACTTTTATGTCTTGAGTCAGTTGTGATAATTGGTGTATTTGTAGGAAGTTGCCCATTTCATTCAAATTCTGATTTATTGGCATAAAGTTTTTGTGTTGTTACTTTGTTATCCTTTTCATTTCTGTAATGTTAGTGGTCTTGTCTCTATCATCCTTAATTTTGGTAATGTATGTTTTCTCTTCTTGGTCTACCTACAGGTTCATCAAACATGTTGATCTTATGAAAGAATCATCTTTTTATCTTTTATGTTTTTATTAGTACATGTTTGCAGTACCTAATGATTACATTTATCATGGGGGAATCAACATTTTCTTTCATTAATTTTTTTAAACCTTCTCTTGCAATGAGTTCCATTCTAATCTTTATCACTCCTTACCTATGCTTGCTTTAGGTGCAGTTGTTTCATTTTTACATTCTTTTTTTTCTTTCTGGTACTGGGGATCGAAATTGGGTCCTTGCACTTGCAAAGCAGGCACCGGAACCACTGAGCTAAATCTCCAGCCCACATTTTTACATTCTTAAGTTTATATTACTAATTTGAATTATTTATTCTTCTTATAGAAGTATTTTAAAGATATAAATTTACCTTTAAGCACTGCTATAGCTGCATCCTTTAACATATGCTGTTTGCATTTTCATGCAGTTCAAAATACTTTCTAGTTTCCCTTGTCTTTTGATTCATAATTATTTAGAAGTGTGTAAATTTCCAAATATTTGTGGATTCCCCCAATTTTCATCTTTTATTTATTTCTAGATGTTGCAGTCAAAAAACATATTTTGTAGGAATTAAGGATTTTCACATTTTTTGTTTTGTTTTGGTACCGGGGATCGAACTCAGGACCTTGTGCTTGGGAGGCAGGCACCGGAACCACTTAGCTAAATCCCCAGCGACTTTCACATTTTTTGAGGTATGTTTTATTATCTAGTATAGGTCCTTCTTGGTGAATGTTCCATGTATACCTGAAAAAAATGTGTATACTTTTGTTGGGTAAAGTGTTCTATAAAAATCACCTTGATTTGGTGACCAGGATTGTTCAAATCTTTCTGCATCATTGCTGATTTTATATCTAGTTGTTCCATCAATTCTTGAGAATAGGCTATTGAATTCTCCACCTGTATTGTTGAATTGTCTGTTTCTTCCTTTATTCCTGTCAGCTTTTGCTTTGTATATCTTGGGGCTCCATTGTAAGAGGCATATGTAGTAAATGTATAAAAACTTTTATTGGTATGGTGGTGCACACCTGTAATCCCAGCACTTGGAAGGCTGAGGCAGGAGGATTACTATGAGTTTGAGACAAGCCTGGGCTACACAGTGAGCTCCAGATCAGTCTCAACTACATAGTGAGACCCCACCTCAAACAAACAACAACAACAAAAAGCAAACAAACAATGACAACAAAAAAAAAATAAATTTTGGTGGTATCACACTGAACCCAGGGCCTTCACTCTGAGCTACAAACCTATCCCTTTTTTATTTTTTGAGACAGAATCTAACTAAATCACTTAATTACCCAGGCTGGGCTCCAACTTGCAATCTTCCTGCCTCAGCCTGTGAATGTGCTGGAATTACAGGCATATACCATCACACACAGCTATAAAAGTATAATTAAAAAATCTTTTACCCAGGTGTGTCTCAAAGTAAAAAGACCGAGGATGTAGCTTGGTGTGAAAGCCCTGAATTCAATCCACCATGACTTACCCATTGTATCATTATGAAAATGACCCTTTTGTGTTTTGTAAAAATTTTCATCCAAATGTCTATTTAGCCGGGAACTTTTTTCCTCGGTACAGGGACTGAACTCAGAACTTTGCACTTGCCAAGCAGGCACAGTGCCACTGAGCTAAATCCCTGGCCCATAGAAGTGCACTTTTTTTTTTTTGAACTGGGGATTGAACTCAGGACATTGTGCTTACGAGGTGTGACATCACTGAGCTAAATCCTCAGCCCTTAGCCAGGAATTTGTATAGCCACTTCAGCTCTCTTACGTCACTCTCTGCATGTTAGATATGCTTTTATTTTTGATGCATTTGTAGCAATGAATCTGAAGTGTGTCTTTTATAGATAGCATATAGTTAGAACCTATATTTAACCTAATCTGTAAACCTCTGCCTTTTTTTTTTCCAGGGCTGAGATTTGAACCTAGGCCCTCACATGCTAGACAAGTGGTCTATCACTGAGCTACAGCCTCAGCATAAGTCTGTCTTTTGGTTGAAGAATTAAGTCCATACATTTGATTATAATCTATGATTGTATTTACATTTGCCATTTTGATATTTGTTATCCCTGAGTCCCATATCTTTTTTCATTTTTGTTAAATTAGTATTTTGTAATGTACCAATTTAATAACTTTATTAATATTACGCATAGTGGTTATACTGAGGAGTATGATATGTATTCTAAGCTGAAAAAAACTACTTCACATCAATACTAAGTAAATTTTAACAGCATATAGAAAAAATTTTTTTCCTCATTGAGTTTATTGGTACTTTTTAGGTATACAGTACAGTTACATTACATTCATCATTGGGATCTTTTACCTTTGCATGACAGGACTTGGTTCTCATTTTTTCCCCATTTCCCTTGCCCTCCCTTCACCCCCTCCACCCTTCCCTATTTCCAAAGACTTTGTTTCCATTTTTTCCTTTTCTCATATTTTTTCTTTTCCCTTATTTCCTTTCCCCTGCCCTTCCTACTTTCCCTACACCCTTAGCCCTTTTCTTCCTATTTCACATTGTCAGTTATACAATTTGGATCTTATTCACACTTTTAGTTTTTCATACCAGAGAAACTATTTGGCATTTACTATTTTGTGTTTTAAAGAAAAACATTTAGTTCATTTATTTTTATTGTCTATTTGGTGATTCGTTGTCATACCACTTTATTTCTTTAAACACAAAATGTTAGTGCTTTGAACAAATTATAATTTCTTTAAAGTTATTATCTATTAAATGTAACGTGGGCACCTTCAGACAATTTCTAGTCATTTTCACCCTTCCCAAGAAGACCACAATTTCCCCTATGTGCATGTGTGTGTGTGTGTGTGTGTGTGTGTGTGTGAGTAGAGAGAGAGAGAGAGAGAGAGAGAGAGAGAGAGAGAGAGGTTGTTTTGGATGACTCAACTGTTATAAACTTAACATTGTACATAATATAACAACTTTGGATTATGAACTCCCTTCATGACTATTGCTTTTACTTTTGTCTTCTGTTTGAGTGTATGCTCACTTAGGGACTTGTGGAAACCAATCTGACAGGATTTAGCATTTCTTCTGTGTATAGCTACTACTGTGTCTGCTCATTTTCCCCCTGGTACTGGAAGGGCACTCTATTACTGACACGCAGCCCTAGCCCTTTTTACTTATTTGTTTTCTTAAATTTAGAGATAAGATCTTGCTAAGTTGCGCAGGCTGGCCTCCAGTGTGCATTCCTCCTGTCTCAGCCTCTCATGTAGCTGCAATCACAGGTGAGCACCACTATGCCCAGCTATTTCTGCTCACTGTCATCAAGTTGCCCAGGGTGAGATAAAAATTGTGATTTTCTTACTTTAGCCTCCCAGAGTACTGGGATTTCAGGCATGGTACCCCCACACCTGGCTGGTTTGGATCTTAAATATCCCCCAAAGTCTTGGTCACCAACCTGTGACATTGTTGGAAGGTGGCACACCCCTAATGGAGATGAGGCACAGTGGAAAGAAATGGTCACTGTGGCATGCCTTTAGGGGATATTGGGCCCCTGGGCCCCTCCTCTCTCTTTTTGCTTTCTGGCCCTCGTGTGGTGGAGAGATTTCTCTGTCATATGCTCCCTCCATGGTATGCTGTGCTGTCACAGGCCTAAGCAACAGGACCAAGTGACTATAAAATGCCACCTCTGAAACTGTGAGCCAAAATAAAACTTTCCCATTTAAGGTATTTATCTGAGTGTTTCTGTCACAGCAACAAAAAATTAACACAACAACCATGTCCATAGAGGTAGGGATGGAAGCAGCTCTGAGTTCAAATGCCAGACTCTGCTTTTCCTACCAACATTTGGCAGTTTCCCCATCAATGAATCTTCAATTTGAAATGCTTTTGGTGAATTTCTAGTGCAATCAATTGATTTTTTTAAAGAACTTTTTTGTAGTTTATAGTTGCTTTTTAGAGGAAATGACCTGATGAGCTCTAACTTGACCATACCAGGAATTCTACCTCTGGACAAATGATTTTTGACAAAAGTCAAAGTATGGAGAAAGAATATTTCTCGTTGTTCTGTTTTACAGTTCATAGGACTGAAGCCAGGTAGTACTAAGCTACATATCTAACCACCCGCCTCTTTTAAACATCTTGCTAAATTACTCACGCTGCCTTAAACTTGCAATCCTTCTACCTCAGCCTGCCAAGTACCTGGGATTACAGTTGTGTGTCACTACACCCAGTAGAAAAAGGATAGTATTTTTAAAAAAATGCTGTGGAAACATTTGGATATTCATACACAAAAAAATCAACTTCACACCATATTTAAAAATTAACTCAAAATAGATGATAGAACTAGAAAATTAAAACTGTAAAACTTCTAGAAGAAAACACAGGGAAAAAAATCACTGTCATCTTCAGTTAGGCAAGGATTCCTAAGATACTACACCAAAGGCACAAAGCATAAAAGAACAAATTGAAAGATTATACTTCATCAAAATAGGCAGTTTTCCTCTTTTACAGAGACAAAGAACAGAAAGACAATTCAGAGACAGAGAAAAATGTGTTCAAGGATGATGGGCTGATAATGCACTCATACACAGAATATATTAAAAAAAACTCTCAGTGCTCAAGAAAAAGAAAATGAAAGACTTAATAATAGGCAAAAGAAATCTGGTGGACATGGTGGCCCATTCCTGTAATGCCAGCTACTCAGGAGGCTGAGGCAAGAAGAACACAAATTCAAGGCCAGCCTGGGCAGTGATAATCTGTCTCAAAATAAAAAGTGCTGGGAATATAGTTCAGTGGTAGAAGGCCCCTGGGTTGAATTTTAAGAAATACAAAAAAGTATAAAAGGCAAACGTTTGAACACAAACTTCACCAGATGCTCAAAAAGATGGTCAACATCATTACTCATTAGAGTAATGTAAATTAATTGTGTTATCAATTTGTATGTAGAACAGCTTCACTAAGAAAGACGGCTATAGGCTGGGGTGCAGCTCAGGGGTAGACTATTGGCTTAGCATATGCAGGTTCCATTCCTTGCACCATGGGGAGAAAAAGACTGATCAAAACAAAGAGTTGGTGGGGATCTGGAGAAATTGGAACCCCTATAAATCATGATGGGAATGTAAAATGCTGTAGCCATCTGAGGAATATACCTACTGGTAAGTCTCAGATCTGACATTAAAGCAGGACTTTACAAAGAGGAAAAACAAGTTTCCCCAACCTTAGCAATACGGCTGTTGTACTCTGTTCTAATACAGATAAAATCAGCAACTCTGTCCCGATAAGTAAAGTTTTATAACCTCCTGTTCTCATAACATCCTGCTTTTACCTAACCAAGGCCGCTGGGATATGTCAAGTTGCAAAAGCATCACAGCTTGACAAACTGCCTTTATTCTGCTTGCTCACTCCCACGTTATGTGCCACTAGGTAGGCCAACCCCCTCCGACCAAATGTATAAAAACTAGAGCTTTTCCTTTGTTTGAGGCTTGGCCTTTGGACATGAGTTTGATGGGCTGGTGTGCACCTAAAATCCTGGAATAAAATCCTCCCGTTTCACTTGTAATTTCTCCTGTCTCTTAACTTCTGCAACAACATGACTGGTCTGTCTCTCCTGGGAAGATACCACAATGGTTTCAAACACAAGGAAATGAAAAGTCAAACCACGATATCACTATATACCCATCACAATGGCTACAGTAATAAAAGCTAAAAATATACTAAGTGTTGGCAAGGATATGGAGCACCTAGAACTCACACTGTGTTGGTGGGGCTGCACACTGATACAGACACAATGGAAAACCATTTTTAAAAATTCAAAATATGGATATACTATGACTGTGTACTTCAACTCCTAAGTATATACTTAACTGAAATTCATATATATATATGTTCACCAGTAAATAGCAACACTGTTTTTAATAGCCCCAAGTTGCAAACAGCACAAAGGTATATCAAGAGAAAAATGGGTATTTTGCAACATATTCATACAATGAAATACAACATGACATGAAAATGGAGTTATCATTGACTATGTACTACCAAATTGGTGAATCATATTCATAACATAAATGACAAAAGATACTAAAGAGTATATATATGTAAAAGTATGTATAAAATATAAAACAAGTCAAGTGAGCACATACTATTAAAGTCAGGATATTGTTTACCCTTGGTGTGTGTGTGTTTGGGGGACTTCTGGGAAGGAGTATAGGGAGGGCTTCTGGGGCCTGGTCATGTTCTGTTTCTTTCTTTGAATAAGTTCATTTCCTTAGGATGCATTGAGCTTCAGGCTTATGATATATTCACTTTCTGTATGCATTATACTTTATAAAAATGTTTAAAAGTACAATAAAATTGCATGTAGAAAGCCTTTTTCTTATGAGGCCATGAAAAATATTTAAGGGAAAATGAGCCAGTGTCTCTTTTAAAACAGCAGTGCTCTTTTTAGAGAAGTGTTACTAATGCTAATGTGCATGTAGAAAATGAATACCCTAACCAAAATGGAAGAAAAACAACATTTTATATATGGAAACACAGTCTCTCAACCATTCTTTTTCAAACAGGAATTTTGAGGAAAGCAGTGGCGTCAGTAGACAAGACTGAAAGGTCGGAATGCCATCACTCACTTTTATTGTCTTCATGTCAGTCACTCAGGGAATCAAAGCATGTGGTCTGAGGCTTACAAAAATGATAGCATTAGGAGCACAGGTTAGGAGGCATGCAGCATGTGAATCACCTTCTGCCACCTGTAAATGTCTGTATCCTTTCACAGCTCCATTCCTGTGACAGGCTAGAGCCATGCCTAACTTCCAATTCTCAAAGTCAAACTTTAAGTTTCAAAATTGTTTTTCACCTTTAAAAAAATATACTTGGAGACTTCCCATGGGAACAGCAAGAGTAATTCTTCACGGAAATCTTTTCTTAAATATTAACAATCACTGAAAACTTCCAGTTCTACTCACAGATCTGCATTTCTAAATATATTTGGCCTTGACTTCAGGGCCCTGCAAAGTGCTTGAACAATGCAAACTCTTTGCCTCACCAGAAGAGTGTGAAACAATTTTGACCAATGTTGAGTACTTTTATGGACCGAGGTACAAAGAACTAATCAGTGCTGAATTTATAAGTCCTCTTTCTGAAAAGTGAAACAAAAGAGATGGTAAGTTAGTTCCTCGGGTCTTTATTTTTACCATTTGAAGAAGCATGAGAGCCCCCGTATCAACCATGTGGCCAAACATGAGTATTGCTATTTATTCAAGTGCTTCATTTGAAGGTCATTCTGCAATTAACTGTATGTCAACAGTGATGATCCTGGAACTTATTTTTCTAGTCAGTGGAAGGACATTTGGTTTTGTTCGCCTTCTGCTCACTCCAGCCACAGCCTTTCATACCTGCCCCCACCCTTGCCTCCAGTGCCAGCAGTGGTGGCATTGCTTGTCTCACTCAGGCCTATCTCATGCACACTCAGCTAGAAGTTCCATGTGATGGGGATTTCAGTCACCAGCTTTATTACATCATTTTTCTCCACTGTGTATCTTCTGATGTTTAATGAGATTTGACCTGTTGGTGAAGGCCCTTTGACATTCGGCACAAGTGTGCAGCTTCCTTCCTGTATGAATTATCTGATGCATACTGATTGTCATTTTCTGAATGAACGCTTTCCCATATTTCCTGCATTCATAGTGTCTCTCTCCAGTGTGGGACTTCTGATGTAAAGTGAGGCGTGACTTCCAGGTGAAGGTTTTACCACAGTCACTGCATGCATAGGGTTTCTCCCTAGTATGGATTTTCTGGTGTGTTATAAGATTGGATCGGTCAGTGAAAGCCTTTCCGCATTCAGCACACATTGGGTTTCTCACCTGTGTGAATTTTCTGATGCACATGGAGCTGTGACTTCTTAGTGAAGCATTTTCCACGGTCGCTGCATTCATATGTCTTCTCCCCAGTATGAATCCTGTGATGTGCAATAAAGTGCGATTTCTGGATGAAGGCCTTCCCACAGTCAGGACAGACATAGGGTTTCTCTCCTGTGTGGATCCTCTGATGCACACTTTGTGCTGATTTCTGGATAAACACTTTCCCACATTCCCTGCATTCATAGTGTCTCTCTCCGGTATGAGATTTCTGATGGATTTTGAGATGTGACTTCCATATGAACGCTTTTCCACAGCCATTGCATTTATAGGGTTTCTCTCCAGTATGAATTTTCTGGTGTTTGATGAGATTAGATTGATCAGTAAAAGCCTTCCCACATTCTGCACACATGTAGGGTTTTTCTCCAGTGTGAGTTTTCTGATGTGTAGCCAGGCTTGTCTGATGAGTAAAGTCCTTTCCACACTCTGTACATATATAAGGCTTCTCTCCTGTGTGAATTCTCTGATGCACATAGAGTTGTGAATTTTTGGTGAATGATTTCCCACAGTCACTGCATTCATAAGGTTTTTCATCAGTGTGAATTCGCTGATGTGTGTTGAAGTGTGATTTCTGGATGAAGGCCTTTCCGCATTCAGTGCACACATTAAGGTTTCTCTCCCGTGTGGATCTGCTGATGCATCCAGAGAGCTGACTTTCTTGTAAATGCTTTCCCACATTCCCCACATGCATAGTGCTTCTCTCCAGTGTGAGTTTTCTGATGTATACTGAGGTCTGAATTCTGAGAGAAGCCTTTTCCACATTCACTACATTGATAAGGCTTTTCTCCTGTATGAATCCTCAGATGTCTGAAGAGATCTGATTTTTGGAAAAAGGCTTTGCCACACTGGCTGCATTTGTAGGGTTTCTGTCCGGTATGGATTTTCTGATGAGTAATGAGGCTAGACTTGAGGGTAAAGGACTTCCCACATTGAGGACATACGTAGGGCTTCTCACCTCTGTGAACACCCTGATGTGGCTCAATCTGTGCCTTCAGATCACACACTCGCTCACTTTTGTTGCATTCACAGGATTTTTCTCCAGCATGAATTTTTTCATGTTTAAAGAGATGTGGCTTCTGGGTAAAATCCTTTCCAAATCCAGTACATACATGAAGTTTCTCCCCAGGATAACTTTGCTGCCAGTGGATGGGAGCTTTGTGACTGAGGCATTTTTCACATTGACTGCATTCACAGGAACTCGCTGCTGTGTTGGTATGCTCCTTCTTTCTAGAGGAAGACCAAATGTTACCATCTCCAAAAATTTTATCATGGTTTTTCGTTGTAGTGCTTCTATTATGATTATGTGAGTTTAAAGTATGCTTCAGACTCTTCACAAATGTGTCACAGTTACAGAGTCTTTTAATTGAAGGGACAAGCTTGGTAGTCAAATGAATTATTTTTTCAATGTTCTGACATTCATAGCCCCTCTCCTTAATTAATACTACAATATGATTTAATGGGTTAATCTGGTTTTCCTGATATCTCTGTAGCTGGTCTTTCTCTTGCCATGGTTCTAAGATGGAACACAATGAATCTTTGCCTATGGGTCTATCAAATCTCTTACAGTGGAATGAAACTTCTCCAGAAATTCCCTGTGGTCGACTTTTCCCAATATCTTCATCTAAAAATAAAAAGCAAAAAATGAAAATGAGATAAAGAATAAGTAGAAGAGGACAGGATGGGGGTGGTCCATGTAGTTCAGACAGGTGGAAGACAGGGAAACAGAAGAGTCTAATAATAGTGCAGTAAAAGAAAATTCTTATAGGGCACTTAATAGATGCGAATGATTCTATACCATTTATGATGTACCACTGTGCCAAGCACTTTCCATACAGTAGTTCATTGACTCTTTACTGAACCCTATGAGGGAGCTTCCATGATCACTTGTGTGTGTGTATCGTTTGTTTGTTTTGTTTTTGCAGCGCTGGGGATCAAGCCCAGATATACCAGACAAGCTGTTTATCAATGAACTACATCCCCAATCACCCTGCCATGATTTTTGAGACAGGGTCTCACTAAGTTACCCCAGCTTTGAACTTGCCATCTTTCTACCACAGCCTCTGAAGTAGCTTGGATTACAGCTCAACTCCCTGCTCATCTGTGTTTTACAGAACAGTAACAGAGAGATTATGTAACTTTAAGATCAACTTGCTTATACTTGGGAGACATGGGATTTGAAAACTAGGAATCTGGTTCTACTATGTAGGGGATCCAGATAAAAAGCAATCAGAGAGAGAAACTGAAGTCTATTAAGGGGAAGCTTGACACAGAAGCAATATTGTAGAATTTATATGCTGACTATGTATCAGCTCAAAACCTTGGTGAATTCTCTATTTCCTCTTCCTTTTCCCTCTACACCATTATGAGCATTGATATTACATTTCTAGGCCTCAAACACCAATCCTTGAAATCAGTGGAAGAATTATTATAATATCGCCATCTTGACAAATGGTTAATAGATGTCTGGGCTCCAAGTCTGTAACTAGCAGCAAACTTCTCTTGGATTGAGAATTCCATGCTTCTAGCAAGATGAGTAAAAGAGCCAGGGATGGTGGTACACACCTGTAGTCCCAACTACTTGGGAGGCTGAGGCAAAAAAAAAAAAAAAAAAAAAAAAAAAAAAACCAACAAAAAACCCACAAGTCCAAGACCAGCATGGGAAACTTAGCAAGACTTTGTCTTAAAAGTTTGAATAGGGCTGGGGATATTGCTTTACTATAGAATACTAGTCTAGGGCAGGTGAGGCCCTGGGTGGAGGGGTGCAGAGTAAAATAGGAAAAGGAAAGCCATGAGGCAGAAACTTCAAACCCTTCACCCAAATCCCTTCTCCAGTTCTTTGGTAGTAACATAATATAGCTGGGCCTACATTCACCAGCCTCACCAGTAGAAAGTGAGAAGAGGTAATAAGCACTGCTTCCAGGAAGGCTGTACAACACTGCACAGACCTTTCTTCCCTCTTCCCCTTTTCCAATGGACACCACAGTGATCAGCATTAATGGTGCAGCTGACAACCATTTCCTAGGAGAGGGCAGAGCAATGACTTGGAACAAGGTTCCTGAAGGACCTGTCAGGATCACATTTAACCTGCTGACCTGGACCCATCCATCTCAGAATTCTTACATAGGAGATGATACATATCTATATTTAGTTTGTTGTCTATGTCTTCTGTGTGCATATTCCAATGGATTATCTTTAACATTAGCTCCAGTCACAGTATACCTCTGGAGAAGCTGTGTTTGCTATAAATTCATAAAGGCACTGCGCTACTCACACTGACACTTGATTTGACATCGTTTAATGTTATAACAGAGAAGACTACTACCCAAAGCCCAAGATTGTTAATATTTCATGCAGGTTTCTTCTCTTTCCATGTATAATGTACAAACCTTTGAATTCTTCTGAACAGATGCTTGAAAATTTCTTCTGAAAAAAATGAAGTATCTGCTTCCATTTCTCCATGTTTAATAAATTTAAGTTTACTGTAATTTTTCTATATGTTACCTCAGAACTCTGAAAAAGGTGCGTTAATTTATTGCCTCTTGGTTCCAAATTCACCCTTTCTCACCTGCTCCACAACAAAGGATCTGAGTCTCTTCCGTATTTCTTCATTTGCCAGCCAGCACATTAAGCCTTGTAGAGGATGCTAGAGAGGCATCGCCTGAGCTGGCAGTTTTGCTTCCTCTTTCTACAGGCTCACTCAGCAGGCTTTTCCAGCCAAGGGTGCTTGTCTAGCAGTAGGCTCCTGTAGTGCAGATGGCTTTGGCATCTGGCTCCCGACACACACTCAGCATTCCTGGCACCCAGATCTTGGAGTGTGGGGGCTTCTCTGAGCAGAGCTCCTGTACTATGGATTCTCCAGCACCCAGCTCCTGTAGCTCCAGACTTCAAAAGCACCCAGACCTTGCAGCACTAGTAGCTTCTCCAGCTCAAAGCTACTATACTGCACTGCAACCAGTAGCACTTAGCACCTAGATTGTCTGCAGATACCAATTCTACAGAAACTCAAGTTCCTTATATAAAATGACACTGAATTGGCAAAGTACCTAAGCACATGCTCCCATACACTGAAAATCAGCTCTAGGTTACTTACAATACCTAACAGAATGTGAATGTTGTGTAAATAGCTGTTATACCATGTTGTTTAAGGAATGAGGAAATCAAACATAGCCTGTACAGCACAGATGAAGTTTTTAAAAAAGTAATAGTTCCCATTTCTGGTTGATTAAATCTGTAGATACGGGACCTGTGGACATGGAGGGCTAACTATAATCATAATCCAGGTAGGAGAATACAGTACATGGAGCTGATTTTGCATGACCTCACTGAGACCTGTGAAGATAAACTTAGAAATGAACCGAGAAGAACTGAGAAAGCAAAATAAGATTTACAAAAAAAAAAAGTGGGGGGGAGTTTGGGTCAACCCAGGCAACTTACAGAGACCCTGTCTCAATATAAAAAATGAAAACGTGGGCCAGGGATTTAGCCTAGTGGTTCCACTGCCTGCCTTGCAAGCACAAGGTCCCAAGTTTGATCCCCGGTACAAAAAAGAAAAAAGAAGAAGAAAAAAAAAAGGAAGAGAAAGAAATGGAAAGATCTGGGAATGTTGCTCAGTGGTAGAGTACTGGCCTATCATGTGGATGCACTGGGTTCCATCCCCAGTGCCACCACCAAAGATATATATTTGGCATCTCTGGATCATTGCATGGACATGAAGAAAAATATGAACAGTGGGAAAGGTCTCCAGAATTGCATTTGTGTAAAAAATTATGATAGCAGGTAAATAATGAAGTACTCAAACTAGTTACTAGAAAAATTAAAAAAGAGGCTTGTGTGGTGGCACATGCCTGTAATTCCAGCACTCTGGGCGGTTGAAACAGGAGGATCACAGGTTTAACCCCAGCCTGGGGAATTTAGCAACTTAGCAAAACCTACCTCAAAATAAAAATAAGTCAGGGTCCAGTGGGTAACTTACTGTGAATGCACTGGGTTCAATACTGGTACTATAAAAAATTAAAAATGAGATACCACTTTATACCCATTGTTGGCCCCAAACTGAGAAACTTTGGTACTGCTAATTGTTAGTGGGAACATTGGGAAAGCAAGAGCCTGTGTGCATTGGTGCTGCAAGTCCAGATTAGGGCAGACAACCTGAGAATATTATGGTGCTACTGAGGCAAAGGATGAAGGCTGGACCAAATGGTAGCTCAGTGGTAGAGCACCCTTAACATGAGTGAGGCCCTGGATTCCTTCTCCAGCAGTAAAAAGAAAAATCAGGCTAAGAATACTGAATGATTAGGTAGACTCTCACTTCACATATCCTTGAGAAAAGCTCACACCCCATAAGGGAAACTTCATGTGTAAAGTGACTGCCCAGTAGTCTGTATTCTATGCATGTAATCCTAGTACTCTGGGAGGCTGAGGCAGCCTATTTGAGTGCAGCCTGGGTAAATTAGAGACACAGTAACAAACTATCAAAAAATAAAAAGGGCTGGGGATGTGGCTTTGTGCAAAGGCCCTGGTTTCAATCTCCAGTAACAAAGGGTGAAAAAAATAGGATGGTATGTCATTTTAGGGTGCAGAGATTAGAGGGTAAAACAAATAGGAGAAAATAGATGTGGCAGGAGTCATACACAGAGAAGAGATTTAAGTATCTAGGGGCTACTGATAATTATTTCCAATGAAATTCACAAGTTTAGAACTTTCAAGATTACACATCTTCACAACTTTTAAGAAGCACCTGAGTAACATTCACAGTATCTCCATGTCCCCCATATGATTGGGTCACACTCACCCACATAAATAGCTGTCATGTGGGGCTTCCCCTCCAATACCATGGCCCTCTTCTTGCTTCATTGTGAAGATGGTTTCTGCTTTGGGAACTTGGTACCCTATTAACAGGACATGATACAGGACTGGGACCAGCTGACAAAGTTTCAGGGGCTTCTCAATGACACTTCCCATCTCTTCTTCAAGGAATCCCCCATGTTTGTTAGGGAATGGAGAAATAATCACAGAGCTGAAAGGGATTGAAGACTCAGCCATATCAAGGATGACACTGTGACACACCAGATGTCCTCAAGCAGCCAGTCATGGAAATCCATTTGAAAGCCCTGGCACATGAATAGGGCACCAGTGCTTACCCACAGAGAGCAGATGGCAGTAGTTTTCCAGTGTCACATCCCAGTACAGGTGTCTCTTAGCAAGGTCCAAGTGCTGCCATTCCTCCCTGCTGAAGTCTACTATCACATCCTCCAGTGACAATGACACCTGTAACAGCACAACTGTGTTAAATATTAAAACAGAAACACTGACCCTTCAAGAACAGAGGTTAGATAAAACTCTTGAAGACACTGGCATAGGAAAATATTTATGAACAAAACCTCAGTTGCATGGGAACTAGCACAAAGAATCAACAACTGGGATGTCATTCTATTTTTGTTTTGTTTTGCTTTGTTTTTGTTACCAGAGGCTGAATTAGGGACCGTGCACTTGCGAGGCAGGTGGCGGAACCACTGAGCTAAATCCCCAGCTAGATCTCATTTTATTAAAAGGCTTCTGCACAGCAAGAGAAACCACCTACAGAGTGAAGAGACAACCCACAATATGGGAAACATTTTTTTACCAGCGGTTCCTCAGATAAAGGTCTACTACCTAGAATATATAAAGAACTTTAAAAAATCAGACTCCCCCAAATTTAAAGACCCAATCCAGAAATGGACATCTGAAGTGAACAGACATTTCTCAAAGAAGTAGAAACAGCAAATAAATATATGAAAAAATATTCAACATCACTGGTCATTCCAGAGATGCAGATGGGAATAATGCTGAGATTCCACCTCACCCCAGAAAGAATGGCTGCTATCACCAAATCAACCAATAACAAATGCTGGTGGGGCTGTGGGGAAAAAGGAACCCTTCTCCACTGTTGGTGGGAGTGCAGACTGTTGCAACCACTGTGGAAATCAGTGTGGAGATTCCTCAAAAAACTAGAATTAGAAGTCCCATTTGACCTAACTATTCCCTTGCTGGATATCTTCCCAAAAGAATTAAAAGTATCATACCGCAGTGATATATGCACATCCATGTTTACAGTGGCACAGTTTTAATAGCTAAATGTTGAAAACAACCCAAATGCCTGTAAACTGGTAACTGGATAAAGAAGATATGAGTTTTTTAATAAAATGAAGTACTACTTAGCCATAAAGAATGATAAACTAGAGACATTTGTAGCAAAATGGATGCATATCAAGGCCATACTCTTAAGTGAAATAAATCGGAAACACGTGTAAATACCGAATTGTCTCTCTGGTGTGAGAAACTGAAAGTGTAAGTGAGGACCAAAATGTATACTAGATAATGTGAAACAGGAAGAAAATGTTCAAAGGGGAAGGGGAAGAGGAGAGTTGGGAGAAAGGAAAGAAAAGAAAGGAAAAATGCAAGAAAAGAAGAAAAAAATGGAAACAAAGCTTTTGTAAATAGGTAGGGGTGGAGGGGTGGGAAGGAGGGAATGGGAAAAAACAAGAAGTAAGATATATCATGTGCAGGTACAAATTCCCGATGATTATGATGATAATGTATACCTAAAATGTACCAATAAAGTACCCACAACCCTGTTTAAGGTGACATAGTCAGCTCAGGGAGAGGGGATGGAAGAAGATAGAGAGGAAGTTGTTTCTAATAATTTTACTGTAATGTAACACACAAGGTCTTTGCTAAATAACTAGTCTTTCTTAGTTTTTTTCTGACAGATAAAACCTTATTAAAGTATCTCAACATTCCCTGAACACTACATTCAATCATTTGTTTATTCTTCTTTCAGAAATGAGGATTAAAATAAGTCCTCCTTAAATTTACTCATTAATATAGAAACTAGATTCAATACATTTGCTGATCAGCTAAGTACTAGATATTGTGTTAGGCAACAGAGTTGAGTAAAATATAAAATAACGTAAAAACTTGACTAACCAACACAAGAAGACAGCAATACGGCTGTGAGTGGTATAAAGTTAGGCTACAGAGAGACGGTGGGGAAGAGTTATTGAGAAGGGAAAGGCAGGGACCAAAGTGTGTAGTAAGGAAAGTTTAAAATACATGGTGGATTCATGGAAAATAAGGAAAGGAATCTGTATAGAAGAGAACTTCCATAAAGATTCACTGGGATCAGAACAAGGAACAAGTCTGTTTCTCATAGAGAATGGAATGCCAGCCTCCTTCGATAGCTCATTTGGTAGAGCAGAAGACTGTAGGAGAATGGAAAGCCATTTACATGTCAGAAACGATGTCCTCCTAATAGCTGCTCCAGAGCAGTCATCAAGATGCACTGTGGGAAATGCTGGAAATGGGTGAAACCAGATGACCAGTGTTGAGATGTGCTACAGGGCTCAGGTGACAGCAGAAGAAAAGCTTGGCAGGAGCTGTCCTGGGGATGCAGAAGGAAGAGCAGGTACTGTTTGAAGGAGGTGAGATTGTGCTGGAGAGGTAAAAGAACTCTAGGGCAACTTTCAGTGATTGGCTTTTCATAAGCACAAGACTATGGTGTTTTATACTGAGAGGAGACAAAGAATAAGAAGTGGCACAGAAGAAGATGAACAGAATGCCACATTGTGTTCATGTTGGAGTTAAGGTGATAAAACTAGATGGCAGGTTGTTGGGCTAGGATAGAGGTTTTTTTTTCAGCTTTAATTGAGTTTATTGGTACATTTTAGGGATACAGTACAGTTACATTCATTGTTGGGATCTTGTGCCTCTACATGACAAGTCTTGGTTCTCATTTTTTCCCCTTGTCCCTGCCCTCCCTTTACCCCCTCCTCCCCTCCTCATCTACAACCACTTTATTTCCATCTTTTCATTATCTCACATTTTTTTCTTTTCCCTTTTTACCGTTCCCCTACCCGTCCCACCTTCCATACACCTTTAGCTCCTTTCTTCCCATTTCTCAATGTCAGTAATCTTATTAGGATCTTCTGTATTATTGCAGATTATTCACACCAGAGAAACTACTCGGTATTTACACATGTGTGCCTTATTTATTTCACTTAGGAGTATATCTTCAATATGTATCCATTTTCCTATGAATGAATCTATCTTCTCATTCTTTATGGCTGAGTAATATTCCATTTTATAGAAAAACCACATCTTCTTTATCCAGTTAGGATAGAGGTTTTTATTTGGAAGTTCTTAGCACAGAGATGGTCATCAGATAAGACTGCTCAGGAAAGACAGACAGACAAGATATGGAAGCTGTATCATATAGACCATCTCTAACCTCAGTGCAACTATGTCAGAAATCAGTAAAGGGACCTTTTCAAAATTAAAAAACACAGTTCCAAAAACTGATATTTGAATATAGTCACCCTTCTGTAATGGTGAGTTCCATGTCAGTGGATTCAACCAACTGCGGATCAAAAATATTCTACAATAATTTGTTTTTATACTGAATATGTATAGACTTTTCTGTCATTATTCCCCAAACAATGCATTATAACAACTATATACATACCACTTATATTGCATTAAGTATTGTAAGTTACCTAGAGATGATGTGAAGTGTAGTGGAGAGATGTGTGTGGGGACACATACCTGTAATCCCAGCACTCTGTAAGGCTGAGGTAAAAGGACTCTAAGATTGAGCCCAGGCTGGGCACCTTAGCAATTTAGTCTCAGTATAAAAAATAAAAAAGGGCTGGGGATGTACCTCAGTGCAAAAGCCCTGGGTTCAGTTTTTAGCTTTGCAAAAAAGGAAGGCATGTGTAAGTTATATGAAAATATGACAGCATTTTATATAAGAGACTTGAACATCTAGGGATTTTTTTATATCACTGAGGGATCTTAGAACTAATCTTTTGTGGATACTGAGATACAACTGTAATATAGTCTACAAAGATACACTAGATACATCTAGAACCAACATTAATACATGTAAGGATGTTTAGGATAATGAAATGGTAATTAAAGTGGAAATGAAATTCTTTAGTGTCCATATTACCAAAGAATCCAGTCTAGGACTAGGGTATAACACAGTGGAAGAGTATTTGCCTAAGAAGTATGAGACCTTGGATTTAATCTCACACACACAAAAAATACAGTCCAAAGTTTCATGTATTGGGTATGCAAATCAGGATATTATGAAAATAACAACAAAGTAAACCCCAATAGAGAAAGACTAAAAAAGTAGAAATCAACCAAACCAGTGCCATCCCAATCCACATCACAGCTGGATTTCCTGGACTCTCACAAATAAATTCCAAGATGCATATGAAAATGTAAATGGCCACAAGTAGCAAAGACACTCCTGAATAGAAAAAGCAAGGTGGGAGGATATGCTGTGAAAGACTTGAAAATTTACCAAGCAACAGGTATTTATGAAAATGTGGTCCTGGTGCTAGGATAAAAAATAATCCAGTAGAACAGACACAGTGCATAGAATACAGAGTTTATACATGGTCATCAGATTTATTTATGCCAAGGAGTCCAAGCAGATAGTGAGAAAAATATTTTCAATAAATGATGTCATGGCCATTGTATATAGGAAAAAAATGCAACTTGACCATTACTCCACATCACATGCAAACACACACATGCACACACACACAGACTGCAGATAGATTACATATCTAAATGTGAAAAGGCAAAAACTATAAAGCTTTTAAAAGCTAGTATTTATCTTTAAAACCCTGGATTAGAAAAACAATTCTCGCCAGGTATTTAGCTCAGTGGTTCTGCCGCCTTCTTGGCAAGCACAAGGACCTGAGTTTGATCCCTGGTACCAAAAAAAAAAAAAAAGAGAAAAATAATTCTCAAACAGGATACACAAAACATTAACCACAAAAAAGCCTGACAAGTCTACCTTCAACGAAATTTAGCACTTCTATTCATTTAAATGACTGCATTAAGGTGAATATGGTAGCACATGCCTTTAATCCCAGATACTGATGAGGCTGAGGTAATAGGATCACAAGTTTGAGGCCAACCTTGACAACTTAGTGAGGCCCACTGTTGAAGAGAATGTGGTGCAAGAGCTCTCATATTTCTGATGTTGCTGGGAATACCACAACCATACTGCAAGATATTTTGGCTCTACCTGTCCATGTTGAAGACAGACATATGATATGACCCAGAGATTCCACTCATGGAATATATACACACGGACCACAGGAGACACATGGAAGAATACTTATAGCAGCACTATTAATGCATGTGTGATACTTCATAACAAAAAGGTTAAACTGAATAGTACTTTTTTAAAAAAATCACTGTTTAATATACAT